AAACTATAAATGCACCGCCACCGCTAGATTATGACAAGTTAGCTTACGACCAGTTAGCAGACGCAGAACTATTGTCGTTATGGTCAAAACCGTAATTATCGATAAAACTAGAGCTCGTAAATATGCCCACTACGAACACAAATATTTACTGCGACACTTCTAATGGTAGACAACGACCGTATCTTACCAANCTCGTAAATATGCCCACTACGAACACAAATATTTACTGCGACACTTCTAATGGTAGACAACGACCGTATCTTACCAAACAATTTCGCCGCAATGTGTTCAATTGTCTACATAATCTCGCTCACCCAGGTATACGGTCAACAATAAAATTAGTGAGTAGTCGTTTCGTGTGGCCGTCGATGAACAGTGATTGTGCGAAATGGACTCGTGCGTGTTTAGCGTGTCAAAAGTCAAAAATAACGCGACATGTTATAAGTCCGTGTGGTATTTTTAATGTGCCGAGTGATCGTTTTTCACATGTACACATCGATATAATCGGTCCTATGGTCATGTCACGTGGTTGTACTTACTGTTTAACCGCTATAGACAGATTTTCTAGATGGCCAGAAGTTTTTCCAATTCAGGATATTTCGGCTGAAACCATAGCTCGTACGTTATTTGAAGGCTGGATAGCTCGATATGGAGTTATGGAGAGATTGACAACAGATCAAGGACGGCAATTTGAGTCTACTCTGTTCACCGCAGTAACGCAAATTTTAGGGTTTAGAAGAATACGTACATCAGCATATCATCCACCAGCCAATGGATTAGTCGAACGATTTCACCGATCACTTAAAACGGCAATAAAGTGTTACGAGACTGAACACTGGACAGATGTACTCCCCTCAGTTCTTATGGGCCTTAGATCAGTGATTAAAGAAGATCTAGGTTTAACACCCGCAGAAATTGTATTTGGAAGTACGATTAGATTACCTAATGAGTTTTTTATGCAGTCATCAGTGGCGACAGACCCTTGTTCCTTTGCTGAAACACTAAAGAAAACAATGGAAACCATACGCCCAGTGTCAACTTCAAACCACGGAAGTAAAAAAGTTTTTATATATAAAGATCTAGCATCCTGTTCACACGTTTTCGTTCGGGTCGACCGGGTCAAGAAACCGCTAGAACAACCATATGAAGGGCCGTACAAAATTGTTCAACGATACGAAAAAACCTTTAAATTATTAATTAGGCAAAAAGAATGTATCATATCAATAGACAGACTGAAGCCATGTTTCAACGAAAATGAAGATAATAACACAAATCTATCAATAACAACGAACCAGCACAACCAGAGAAATACAACTACAAGACCAACAATAATACAAACAAAACAAACCAAGTCAGGAAGAACCATCCGCCTCCCCGTAAGGTTTTTGTAAATTGTGAATTGTATCACTTTTATATTTGTATTTGTATTTTTATATTTGATATTTGTAACTATGTATGTTAAACGTAAAATTATCATTTTCACTGGAAAGGAGGTAATGTAGGGATTAACAAAGATGTTAAATAACATGTCACAATGAATGCTTTTATATATGTTTATATGTTTTATCTTAGA